GGGAGGGGGCAGCCCCCATCCCGCCCCATCCCACCCACCCCAGCCACCCCAGCTGGGCAAATGCCTTTCTAAGGGGTCACTGATCCCCTGGGGCTATCTGGGGAGACTGATAACTCCTGGGGGCTGCGGGCATGCTCCCCTGGCCCTGCCTGCTCTCACACTCTCTCGGTGGGTTGTCTCTGCTCCTTCTTTCCCCAGGGCACCTTCTCGCTCATCATTGAGGCTCTCCATACAGACTCTCCTGACGACCTCACCACAGGTAACTGTCCTGAAACAAACTTTCCCTGAATAATCCCAACCCTGTGGCCCTACTCAGCCCCCCTCTCTGCGGTAGAGTGCATTCCCCCCATCCCATCCCTGCTTCTCGTTGGGAGACCATGGGAAGAGAGGCCAACCTGTTGGCACACATCCCTATCTTCTTGCCTCTGCAGTTCCCTCCCACCAGACAACCCCAGAGCATCCTCCTACACTCCTGCTGGCTTCAAGCTTCCTAATCACATCTCTCTACTCTCACACAGAAAACCCTGAGCGCCTCATCAGCCGCCTGGCCACCCAGAGGCACTTGGCAGTGGGGGAAGAGTGGTCCCAGGACCTGCACAGCAGCGGCCGCACTGACCTCAAGTATTCCTATCGCTTTGTGTGCGACGAGCACTACTATGGAGAAGGCTGTTCTGTCTTCTGCCGCCCCAGGGACGATGCCTTTGGTCACTTCACTTGTGGAGAGCGTGGCGAGAAAGTCTGCAACCCAGGCTGGAAGGGCCAGTACTGCACTGAGCGTGAGTGTCCACCTTCTTGTCTCCCTGGGTGCCAGTTGCAGCAGTGTCCCCTGAGTGCTCGGGGAGGGGGGTGCATTTCTCTGACACCAAGCCCCATGGGAGAGGGGGAACCAGGCTACAGTGGGTGGGAGTTTGGTGCTGTGTACAGGCTTTAATTGTGCGAGGGCATGGGAAGTCCTCAGCATTGCCACAAAAAGTTAATGCAGACAGCCCCTTAAGCTAATGAAGTGTCAGTGCTAACATTTTACGCTTGCTCCTTTGCTGTAGATGTAAAATCTGATAACAAAATGCTCAGCAGTTGTTTGAGGATTTATTAAAATATATCAGGCCTACTTGTTATACCTAGCCACCCCTTCAATCATGGTACATTGATACAATCATCTCTGGGGTAAATGGCTTCAGGAGAGGGAGCTAGGCTTTGGCAACATCCATGTGGCAGGCCTATTGGTTGACTTGTTGTGGTCTGATGTCTTGCCACCTTGCTTTTAGAAAAGTATTGGGAGGTCCAAGACACTCTCTGGTCTCTAGACCATACATTTCTTATTTGGGGTACTCCTAAACTGCCACTAACAGAGATTGTTTCACCTGGAGCCACAAGAATATTCAAATTCTTTCCTATCTCTCTTCTGTGCTATTGCCCTGATCATTAGTACTAATAAAACAGTGAGGGATGTAAGTTTTAAAGTATGTCTGAACTTGAAGTTGTTGAGGAGTGTGCAGTGTTGATACAGCAAGAAAAGCTATGACAGTAAGCAGATCACAGGATAGTCAGGGATGTCAGATAGCTGCAGCTTTGTACGAGATCACTGCCCTTTGTAGATACATAGCAGTGTACATGTAAACACACACACAGGGCTCCGGCATGTGATGGCATTCCCTGTTTGTGTGCACACATGGGTCTGAAGTACGCTGGCAAATGACATATTGGGTGAGTGCTCCTCTCCAGTCATCAAAGTGCCAGGCAGGCAGGAAGAAAACAGTTACAGGCTGTATAGCAGCCTCTTGGTTTTCTTCTTGTTGTATTTTTGTTTTCTTAAAGCCCTCCTGCACTGTGGTCTCAGCTGAGCTGCTATTAAATGAGTCTAGATTGATTAGCTAGGATGCTTTTAGCAGTTCATGGTACAACGTTGCACAATAAACAGCAGGCACAGGGACTTGCATTTCCTTTGATAATGTTTAAAATAGGAACTACAACCTTTCCCATGATGAAAAGTGCCTAGCCCAGTTGTGTCAAGGGGTGGGGAAAAAGGAAGCATTTTGATAATGAGCTCTTTCGGGGCTGTCAGCACTTTCAGATGCCTGTACATCGCTGCCCTTCCCATGGCAAAGTAGAAGGCTGTCTGTCTTGACTCGTTATGTATGCTCTTTGGTCTGCTTTCCCTCAGAAAAAAGCAGCCTTTAGCAGTGATGAAAACCTACTAGGCAGGGGAAATGTGTTTATGTGTGCATGCAAAAAGAATGTTTTGCCGTTAGCGAGCGGAGCTGCCAGTCACAGATTGCTTCCCGTTGCCTTGCCCCCAGCTCCATTCTTTGCAGCTCGGAGGCGATCTGATTATCAGCGCTGATTCTTTCTTTCTTTTTCTTCCCCCCTCTTTCCCCTCGCATGCCATTGTCTTCGGCTGGCTTTGTTGAATTAAAACTTTGCAGTGCCTGCTTAATGAGTTCCATAACCAGGCAAAGTAATGAGCAGAAGTCCCTTTTTCCCCTTCCCTCATCCTCCCTCCTGCTGGCCCGCTTACCTCTTTTACCAGGGCTGCACCCACCCGCCCGCCCCTTTTCAGAGCGGGGCGGAGGGGGG